AGAATTTTCCTCTCCTGCATCTCTGTTTTCACGTTATTTTATCCAGCTGAAAATGGAGCACAAAGGAAATAAGAAGTGTAAAACTTTTGAGGAAATCTTGGATCAAATAACAATTTTTTCAAGACTTTCTACAACTTTGGCTGCGTTTCCTTGACGCTACATCCGACGTATCCGGAAGATGAAGGCACCTATATTTGCGTCCTCAAAAATTTGCACGGTGAAGCTCAGAGTGTTGCGCAATTAACTACAGTGCATACAACCAGTCTGCAGCTTGATTCGAAGCATGAGCAGTCGCTTGCACAGATTGGCTATCTCGAAGGGCAGCAGGTATGTTTGGAACAAAAAAAAAAGACAAAAATTTCATGGTTTCCTGTTATTGTTTGGCATGTGGAAGTAAGATGAGTACTTTTGCTTTTGCGCTGAAAATGTGTCTAGTTGCCCTCATAGGGAGGGAAAATGAGAAAAATTAAGTTGAAAGAAGCAAAATGTCGACAAGCGAGAGAAATGATTTTATCAGAGGGGCGAGAAATTCGAGGGGCAACCCTGTCTTTGCAAGGTATTCTGCAAACATCAGTAATTACGTTCTCACCGAGTCGAAAATTTTTTCCTTTCTGCTAACAATTAAGGCGGAGGTCACGGCAAAATGAATAACATAGTAAGGAAAAAGCGGAATAATCAACAAAGCTAAATTGGGGGAAGAAGTAAAAGACAAGAAAATTAAGCAGAGCGAGAAAACCATAAGCGATTGAGGGAACAAGAAACAAGGAGAAAAGGAGATTAATTCATCAATAGTGTTTTAAATGATTTCTTGCATCCAAACACACACAGATGTAGTAATATTCAAAAATTTGAGCGCAAATTTAGGTACACATTGGGCCACCATCGGTGGAAAGGCCAGAAGAGTTTAGCAGCTTGGAACCACCACGCTTTGCTCGTCAGCTGGAAAGCCAGATTGAAGTGAATGAGAATGAACCGGTGCATTTCGAAGCACGAATACAACCGGCCAGCGACGTCAAAATGACTGTAGAATGGTACTCGCTTTTTTGTTTAAGAATGAATTATTGGTGCAACATCTCTCTTTTATACGTCGCATCCACCGCGCCGTAAAAAAAGTGGCAGTTTACTATGTAAAACCGATATGTGCCAAATGGCCAACTTGGCGTACTGGTAGTCAGTGCCATCCCCACACTAGGAGACAGTAGTTCAGTGCAAATACAGGCAAGTCAAGACCAGCACTTTTGCTTCTAACCAGTATTTAAGTAAGAGCACAGTCAGATCCAGAGAGAGGGGACGGGGTGCGATGGGTCTTTCGGCCACCCCTTCCCCAGCGGCACAGGCAGCAGTGCTACGAAAGTCAGGGTCTAAAGCTAAAACTGAAGAAAACTCTCTTCCGCAGCCCCCGTCACACCGTCTCTCTCCCTTCCTCCCCAGGAGGCTGCAATTCGAACTGATTCTCAGAGACTGAGTTATTGAGGAAGTTTTGGTCTTTGATATTTAAAAATGAATGCGAGTAAGCCGTGGTTCGCTCGTACGTAGCCTGTGACTTAAGATGTATATTTTAGCGGGTTTTTCTCACGAAGCAGGTATCATTTAGCGGTTATTCACTCCCATTTTTGTCCAATTCTAGCTAAATCTTCGTATCTGTCAAACTGGACTTAGTTTCACTGTTCCATTCTTTGTTCTGTTTTTGTTAAATTTTCTTGGGATAATTTTTTCACTTTCCTGTTACGAACGGTTTTGGTGCCGTTTAGAACGAAAAAGGGATGAGTACGCCTTTCTTTTTCTCCCTGTTTCCATTTCTTACTTCCCTTTCCCCTCCGTTCTTGTCCTATATCCGTAAGACCAGTGCTGCATTATTCCGGATTTAATCGTTCCTTGATGTATCATCACTCAGTCAGTTTAAATCGCTACTGACCTGTCAACTTTATGTACTGCCATATCAGAAAATTAGGTAATGCAGGACGCTTGTTTGATCTGTTGGATCTGAATGATAAGGAACGGTCATTAGAACGTCGAATCAGAAGTGGACAGTCCAAGTGGAGCGGCCTAACTGGGTTAAATTGATAAAAAATTTTTTTGCTGTCGTTGAAGTTTGGTACTGCCAAAGCATTTGCAAACTCAGCTTCATATTGGTGTGCCCTGATCCGGTCTCGAGTAAAAGGCGTCGAAAATGAGGCACATTTGATTAAAAATTTGTCGAAGAAATCCGTAAAACGCTTCGGACACTCCCAAATTCTTGATCTTTTGTGATCCTGTAACTGGTATCATCCACATTAGTACTGTTTATTAAGAGCACTCGTCTGTCTGCTTTCGGGATTTTGGAGCGCCATTAGTTCGTCCAGTCCCTTTCCTGAATCGGATCCTTGCGTAGAGGTGGGTAATCAGTTCAACCCTACCATCCTCGCTCTGTCGTTTGATGAACGATTTCACTGTAAATTCATCCCTGTTTTCTGAATGATGAATCCATAAATCAGTTTTTGTGCCGTTTTTTTTTTCTCCCAGAACCGCGCCGCTGTAGATTTTATATGGCATTCAAATTCGCAAAATCGTAGGGTCTTTTTTTTGTCATTTTTGTATTGTCTACAGCGAAGGCATTGTACAAATGTGCGGGAAATATGGGTCGTGTCGCGGACTACTGGATCGCAAACTCCGAGGACGCATCAAACAGAATGGCTCTATGGATGGGATGGGATCCAGTGCCATTCGTTTTTGGATTGTTTTTTTTTCCCCTACATTCATTGTCCACACAGTTCCAGCTCATGTCTGTCGCTACTTGTTTGTTTCGTTAAAACGGAACGAAACGAAACACTTCTTATCATTACAGTAATCTCACAAATTTTCCTTTTTTATGTACTTTTTTCTTCCTTATTTTTATTTCATTCCTTCTTATTAAAACTTTCTACCAGGTATCACAATGGAGCACCACTGCCAGCCGCTCATCGATTCAGGCCAATGTTTGATTTTGGATATGTCGCCTTAGACATCCTCTATGCATCCCCGGAAGATTCGGGCTTGTACACATTAATTGCAAGAAACGAACTGGGCGAGGTGCAGTCAAATCTCGAGCTCATTGTTAATTCTGACAAGACCTTGTACCTGGATGCCCATCACCCAGAAGGTTTGTCGTCATCCACCTTTTTTTTTTTGTAAAAACTAAAAGAATTCGTGTTTTTGCTTGATTTCCAGCATCACTTTTTTTTGT